GCGCTTCATCATGTCCAGCTGTGCACCTTAAATGTTTAAAGATTAACTCTAAATTAGTAATGTTAAATTTTAATTAGTAGGTGTTGTTAACAGATATGTTAACGACTATAATTTTATAATTAGCCAATGAATGAACGGCTATAATTTATATGTATATAGCTTTAGGCTTTTCTTCATTGTCTTTATATTTTCTTTCTTATTTTATTCATTCTCTTTAGTATTATGGCTAGATTGGAATATGTAAATCATGCTCAAGATAGTATTCTTTCTTTTTCTAATTTTATTGAGAAAACTAATAGTAAGGTAAATTCTTTTACATTTTGTATTACAATTGGTCTTCTTTCAGAAGAGAGAGAATGTGAAAGATGCCATTGATTAATGATAATCTTTAATTTTCAGTAATGAGGTGGCATGCCTATGTAAACAATGAGGTGGCATGCAAATCTGAATAAGCAAATGGGGCCCACCCTAAATTAAAGGGGGTGCTGTATTGTGCATTCTACCCATCAACCATGGCATCGCCATACATAATCTCTGTCCCCACAGACAAGATCGTGACCTCCGGCGTGAGCAGCGGCCTCTCCCGCCTCACCAGGCGATACCTCGTCAGCGATCTTCCAGTTGAGAACACCAGAAGTGAGTCATGGAAATAATCTGCGGCCCAGAGCGCATTGAAGAAGAAACGAGCGGCATTGCGATGCGTACCATTGTTCCATCGAGATCAGAGATGATCCGCGCCCCCTCCATTACAAATGAAAGAAAACCCTAGCGAATTTTTAATCTACAAAGAACCCTAAAAGCATATGCATAGTATCCCACGAATCTTTTGAGATTTTTCTCAACTTGTCTCTTCCAAGAATCCTCCCCAATCTCGTAACCTCTTAGAAACGCACGAAGAGGACCACTCTCTCATTCGGAGATACTGCCGAATCGTAAAAGGGATCTTCCCTTCACATAGAAATCTGCAAAGAACATTCAAGAGTCGCTCCACACAAATTCCTTTTCAGAGTTTCTATAGCTCGAATGGATCTGTCTCACCCTCCAGTTCCACCATCATTCATACTGTTGTTGTTCAATCAGGAAAGAAAAAGAACTTAAGAGTTCTCACTAGCAAGACCAAGAAGCCCATGTCCCAAGCACGCGAGCTCTCTTATACTTGGTCAAATTCCAGTGCTTCCTCATTGTTTTCTTGCTCTTCAACCTCTTCCTGGAAGAGCAATCCAAGGCACAAAATTGCTGCTTGAAATGGAGCAGAACAATATTACCTCGGGCTCCACAGGCTCATCGTAATCGCAATACACAGCATTAGACGATGGAAGGGCAGAACTGACTCCTCTCCGCCACCATCAAAATCGTTGTAATCGCTGTCCACCATCTCCAAAATCTTGGCCAACAGTGAATATGGCATGGAGGTCTGTGGTTTAATTTTCATGGCGCTAGTGAAATAAGCTAGTTAAAGGATGTGAAAATGATATTTTTAATTAATATTTTGATAAATAATATTATAATAATGCATACTTATCATAAATAAGACTATTAATTATAGTATTATCTTTTTGAAATTAAAGCTGAAGATAACCACAACCTGCAACAGAAACATTCAAAATTAGCATCAATCACTAAAATTAATGTGTTTTAAAAATATTAAGCTTACAAATTGAAACTGTGAAGTAAATATAATCTCCAGGGAAATACTCTTAAACTTTATTTATTTTAACAACAAAAATTGAAAATGTTAGCAAAACATTTATAACAAACTCATATAAAATGACATAAATATGGTGAATATTCACACTCTTAAAACTATATATGAAATTTACAAAACAAATTTGGTAGTATCATAGTTCTAAAGGAAAACTTTATGTAGATATTAATAGTTATTCTCATGTTACACATAAATTATATTAGAAATTATTTCTTCTGAAATACTGAAATTGATTTTAGAGCTGATGGAAGGCTAAAATTATCTAACTTAATGGAGGTATGTTCATAATTTTTATCAGAAAAACATATAATATGGAGTTTTATTTACACACAATGAATTTAGAAAAAAAAAGACAAATAGTCCATTTTTTTTATAAAGATAACTTATATTTTCTCAAAATTAATTTAGTCCAAGACATTAATCTTTACTATTAAAGAATAAATGATAGATAATAACTCAAATCTAGAGGTTTGTGACTTTTAAATTATCACTACTCACACAACTAGGAATTCCAAGCTATCAATGGTGGCAATAAACTTTCCATGGTGTAGTTTTTAGTCCAAGAGTCTAATTTGGCAATCTTACTCTAGCTGTTACAATCTTTCCACTATTGATACCCATTGTGGCTTCATTTAACTCTATATTCTTCTACTTTCAATGAAAAGGTATAGTCCTGAACTTCTCTCTCTTCCTTTCATCTTCTTTTTATTATTTTTCACTATGTAGTGAGAAAAATGCTTTCACTTGTAAGTTTTTCGCAGGTGAGTGAATAAAACTTAATTAACTCTTACAACTTACTTTTCCAACTTGCCCGAGTGAATAGTATAATATGCTCCTACAACTAAGTGAATAGTGTTTTGACTTGTGTTAATCAAAGTTTGCTCACAAATTTAATGCAATATAGGTGGGGATGCAATAAGTTTGTTCTTCTTTCTCTTCAAGAAAAATCACTCTTTTACTTTTTGTTAAATATATAATTTCTGATTGTGATGCTCTTCACGTTTTTTTGAAGGGTGCAACATATGCTTCCTTGGCCAAAGATGTAGTTGTTGATTTCATGTCATAAGTAAAAGTTTGATAATTAAGATTGTTGCAAGTCTTGGGACCAACTTCTAAACTTTTACCAAGTTCATCTTAAACCAATAAGTTTGAAGATTTTTCTTGACAAACATGAGAAATCAACACTTCAAGCTGGAAAGATCACCAAGATCAACCTTGACTAAATAGTCATTATTTTTTAGGAGGACAATTCCTTGCCCCAAAGTGGTTGATAATGATGCTAGTTTACTTGTAAATAATAATAGTGTGGTATCTTTGACTCAATGTTCAAAATGATCCATTATATATTAAGATAGTATTAGTATCTTGGTTCCTTGAGAATTTGCCCATTGGGTATTGGAAAAGTTTTAATGTTTATTTGCTATAATTTGTTGGTTATCCATTAACACTTAGAGTAAATTGTTAAATAGAGAAAGTTATAAATAACTAAATTTTCCATTCTACTTTAATCACTTAATCACACCTTTAACCATTTGAAGGAGTCTCGTTCACAACCTCTATAAGTCTTATTTTTGACTTGGGACTTGTTAACCCTATGAATAACATCTATGCCACTTAGCTTTTGCACTTGGTCCAAGTGGTCCACGTGTTCAATCCCATGATTGACACCCAAAGGTACCACCAACATCAGTATATTATGCTAATTCACCCATATTACATCAGTAATACAAAACTATCTACATCATAGTCCCGTCTTTTAAAGACTGGGCCATCTGCCCATGAGTGGTCATCCTTTGACCACACTTTATCACCCTTAAGATGCCTAGAGATATGGGGAACACCCTTCCCCAATATCCTTTTTTCCATCCCCACCAAGTTCCTCTTCATCCACGGCCGTGCTCACCAACACTGCCACTGGATCAATGGCCAAAGGCCCGACTATTAAGTCCCACTATCCTCTGGGACTTCCTCACTATGTAACT